TCCTGATTTGGGCCCCACCGTCCTGCTTCTCACTGCTGTCCTAAGGTGGGAAGCTCAATGGCTGCACCAGGAGGCAGGCTCTCCGGAGCTTCTAAAAGCCCATGTTGCGAAGATTTGGCCCCTGACACCAGCCTGGGCCTGAGCAGCAGCCACTGGGCCTGGTGCTCCTGTCTGTCGCTGCTTTAGTTTGTTTTAATCATCTCTATGATGAAAACTAACTTGGTGGTTAGGATGTTTTGTGGGGGAATTCATTATATTGGCACTTATTGTTTCTAGTCTGACTACCATGTTACGTTAATGTTAACTTTATCACCTGTTGTTCCAAGTTTCTTATTCATGATTTTAGTCCTTATTTAGTTTGGATGGCACAGCTAATGGCATCATTCAATTTTGATTTGTTGAAGATAGTTGTTCTGATATTCGAAGCTACAGAATTTTTTTAAAATCTTCTATTTCATTGTCATTTGATGTGGGCCAATACCAGTTGAATCTCTGAAACTCTGTTTCACACACATTTATTTCAACAACCCAACTTCATTTTGAAATAAATGTGTTTTTTTTGTTGTTGTTTGTTTGTTTTTTGAGACAGAGTCTCGCTCTGTCACCCAGGCTGGAGTGCAGTGGCTGGATCTGAGCTCACTGCAAGCTCCACCTCCCGGGTTTATGACATTCTCCTGCCTCAGCCTCCCGAGTAGCTGGGACTACAGGAGCCCGCCACCTCGCCCGGCTAGTTTTTTGTGTTTTTTAGTAGAGACGGGGTTTCATCATGTTAGCCAGGATGGTCTCGATCTCCTGACCTCGTGATCCGCCCGTCTCAGCCTCCCAAAGTGCTGGGATTACAGGCTTGAGCCACCACGCCGGGCCAAATAAATGTTGTTTTTTTAAAGCTACTTTACAAATTTTTGTTTTATTTTGAAACAGTCGTATAAATTTCCAGGAAATTGCAAAAATTGTTGAGTCTTGAGTACCCTTCACCAAGCTTTCTCCAATGTTAACAATTTTTTAAAATTAAGGTAATGGCAACATCTTATGCAGCTTTGCTATGGCACAATATCGAAACCAGGAGATTGATATTGATATAAATATGTTAACTAGACTCCAGGCCTAATTCACGTGTTACCAGTTTTTACATGCACTCATTTGTGTGTGTGTGTGTGTGTATACATGCACGTGCGTGTAGTTCTGTGCAATTTTGTTAGATATATAGATTCAGGTAACCACCATCATAAACAAGATACTGTTCCAAACCAGGCATAGTGGCTCACACCTGTAATCCCAGCACTTTGGGAGGAGGATCCCTTGAGCCCAAGAGTTTGAGACCAGCCTGGGCAACATAGGAAAACCTAATCTCTACTAAAAATAAAAGTTAAGGCCGGACGCGGTGGCTCAAGCCTGTAATCCCAGCACTTTGGGAGGCCGAGGCGGGCGGATCACGAGGTCAGGAGATCGAGACCTTCCTGGCTAACACGGTGAAACCCCGTCTCTACTAAACATATTAAAAAAAAATTAGCCGGGCGTGGTGGCGGGCGCCTGTGGTCCCAGCTACTCGGGAGACTGAGGCAGGAGAATGGCGGGAACCCGGGAGGCGGAGCTTGCAGTGAGCCGAGATCGCGCCACCGCACTCCAGCCTGGGCGACAGAGCGAGACTCCGCCTCAAAAAAATAAAATAAAATAAATAAATAAATAAATAAAAGTTAAAAAGGTAGCAGGGCATGGTGGCACATGCCTGTGGTCCCAGCTACGCAGGAGGATGAGGTGAGGAGATCATTCAAGCCTGGGAATTTGAGGCTGCAGTGAGCTATGATTAAACCACTGCACTCCAGCCTGGGAGACAGAGCAAGACCCTGTCTCAAGGAAAAAACATACTATTCCATCACTGTTGAAGACCTCCCTCAATGTGCATCCATAAATCACTCTGATATGGTGTGACTCTGTGTCTCCACCCAAATCTCATGTCAAATTATAATCCCCATGTGTCAAAAGAGGGACCTGGTGCAAGGTGACTGGGTCATGGATGTGGTTCCCCCATGCTGTTCTCGTGATAGTGAGTTCCACGACATCTGACAGTTTAAAAGCATGTGGCAGGTCCCCCCTTGTTCTCTTTCTCTCCTGCCGCCATGTAAGACGTGCCTTGCTTCCCCTTTGCCTTTTGCCATGATTGTAAGTTTCCTGGGGCCTCCCCAGCCATGCAGAACTGAGTCAATTAAACCTCTTTTCTTTATAAATTACCTAGTCTCAGGTAGTTCTTTATAGCAGTGTGAAAACAGACTAAAACACACACCTTTCCCCCCTTTCCTAATTCCTGGAAACCACTTATTTTTCTTCCTCTCTATGATTTTGTGATTTTGAGAATATTATGTAAATGGAGTCATATACTATGTAACTTGGTGAGATGGACTTTTTTTCACTGAATATACTGCTTTCAAGATACATCAAAAATGTTGCATGTATCAATAGCTTGTTCCTTCTTTTTAACCAAGTGGTATTCCATCTACAGCTGCTTTAAGACACACTCTCCCAGCACTACGGAGAAGGGACTGTGGAAGACCCTGTAGATTTTCACTTCAGTCCCCCTCAAGCTCCCTGGGGTAAGGCCAGAGGGATTGAACATTGGCACCTCCTGGGAGCTGCCAATCACCTGGCAGTCACCTCTTCTCACTCAGCAGATGCTGCGTTAAGAAGCACATCCAGGCCGGCGCGGTGGCTCAAGCCTGTAATCCAGCACTTGGAGCCGAGACGGTGATCACGAGTCAGGATCGAGACCATCCGGCTAACCGGTGAACCCGTCCTACTAAAAATACAAAAACTGGGCGAAGTGGCGGCACCTGTAGTCCAGCTACTCGGGGCTGAGCTAGGAGAATGGCTAACCCGGGAGGCGGAGCTGCAGTGGCTGAGATCTGGCCACTGCACTCCAGCCTGGTGACGAGCGGACTCCGTCTCAAAAAAAAAAAGAAGCACATCCCTCCCCTCTGACCTGTCTACGCTCAGGTACCTGAGTACCCACAGACTTGGACATTCCATAAAATCAATAAATGAATAGTAGTGTATCAGGCATATTACTGTGATTTTAAAAATGTGAGTGTTCATATTATAAAGTGAAAGAAAACAATCTAAAAAGACCACATATTGTATGATTCCAACTATATGACATTCCAGAAAAGGCAAAACTCTGGAAATAGTAAAAAGACCAGTGATTTCCAGAGGTTAGTGGTGAGGGAAGCAGGAATAGCAGAGCACAGAGGATTTTTGGGGCAAAGAAAGCATTCTGTGTGATGCAGTGATGATAAATCCATGTCATTATCCATTTGCCAAAACCCATAGAATGTACAACACCAAGAGTGAATGCTAATGTTAGCTGCAGACTTTGGGTGATAATGAGGTGTTAACACAGGTTTATTGGTAGTTGCAGTGTTCCACTCTTGGTGGGATGTGGACAGTAGGGAGAGCTATGCACCTGTGCGGGCAGAGGGTATATGGGAACTCTTTGTACTTTCCATGTGACTTTTCTATGAACCTAGAACTGCTCATTAAAATAAAGCATACATTTTTAAACATAAGCATAGCACTCAAAGGATGACGTTCGAAGGCCAGGAACCTTCGCCTTTCTGGTCTTTCACCTTGGCCACGCCTTGGCTGGGCCTCAGGCTGCTCACCTGGATCTTCTGGATATTCTCTCTGTCCAGCCCAGTGGTCCCTGTGTAGTAAGAAGCATTTGGAACTGTGGAGGGCTCTGGCTTGTTACAAGGCAGATCCCTGCTGCCAGCACAAGCACTGGCCACATGAAACGTAAGGTCTAAAACGCTCTCCTGTAGTATCTGTGACCCAATAGCTGTTGGCTGTTGTTGGTCGTGGTGTTTAATATTTCTAAAAGCAGCTTTATTAAGGTATAGTTGACATAAACTGTACACATTTAAAGTGTTCAATTTGATTATATTTGATTTATGAATATGTCCATAATCTGTCACCACCAAAGTGACAATCGAGATAGTGAATATACCGTCACTTCCAAAAGCATCCTTGTGCCTTCCTCCCACCCCTCCCTCCCCTCCAAGCAACCACTGATGTGCTTTCTCACCTCAGTTTGCATTCTCTCAAGTTTCATATACATGGAATCACACAGACTGTATTTTTTTTTGTCTACCTTGTTTCACTGGGAGTAGTTATTTTGAACTCCATCAATGTTGTGTGCATGAATAGTTCATTTTTGAGGGGCAGGGAGCAAATTAAACTTCATTTAGTTTTAAAATCAAACCACTAGGAAAATATATCACAGCCTGAAAACAGCAAATGGACAGGCTATATTATCATTTCAAGTATTCAGTTGGTAAAAATACAATGAGTTTGCTATCAAAACAGTAAGATGCCATGCTGGGGCAGGAACACTGGATGCCACAAAGGCCCCAAGCAAAAATGGCATTTGGTAGTAGGGGGCTGCCTCTCCTTTGCTCTAAGGAAGTCACCGCCCATCCTAGCCCAAGTTGCTTATTTTTCTCCCTCCCTTACCTCCTGTTGCCAGAGGTTTGTCTCGATTGTTAATTCAGGGGGCTAGGTAAGCAACGCTGGGTCTAGGCTTTCATTGTATTCTGTTCTATGAAAACCAGGTTTTTCCAGATTCAGTGCATCATAACTCTCTTATAAGCAAGTAGCCAACAGCTCCTCTTTCACTGTTCGTTCCAGGATACTAGTATATATCACAGTCAAACCCCCCTTCTTTCTGAGGGGAAAAGTGCTGCTGTAAGGTTTTCTTGTCATTTTGCTCCAGGCAGCCTCAAGGCCTATTAGCCAGTAAGAGGGAAGCTCTGCTTCCCATAATTAGTGTGACCTCTTGTGTTGCCTCTTGTGTTTTTCGCATGGTCTCCAGGTTGAAAGATGCAGTGTGTAATAATTTGCAATGTGTAATAATTTGCAGAAGAACTGCACATCCACATCTTGATGGGCAGAAAGAGTATCCACGAGGAACCTTTCAAAGTTCTTATCCAAACTGCTCTCCCTCCCAATTCCACACCTTAAAATCAACTTTTATTCCACGTATACATTACACAAAATCAAGAAAACAAAGACCCAGAAGACTTTTTTTTCCCCCAAGCTAGTGACCTCATGGGTTTTGTGTGAGAGGTTGTGGGAAATGTTGTGGTGACACTTTGGGAAACAGGATGTGACAACAAACAGAAACACCTCTCCTCAAACACCATCAGATCTAACCTGCCAGCTGGTGGTCCCTGTGTGGCAAGAGGAATTTGGTAGCGTGGAGGGCTCTGGCTTGTTACAAGAGAGATCCTGCTGCCACATGAAACATGATGTCTGAAACCCTCTCCTGGAATATCCCTGACCCAACTTAGCGCTAGTTTTTCCATTTCACTTTTTAGGACTGGAACATAAAAGACCTGGTGTGTGGAGGAGGGTGACGCGTGCCTTTCGCTTGTTGCCATTCTTAACTTCTTCGTAAACCTGGCTTAAAAGACTAAAATTCCCATTCCTTTTTTTTTTTTTTTTTTTTTTTTTTTAAGACGGAGTCTCGCTCTGTCGCCCAGGCTGGAGTGCAGTGGCGCCATCTCGGCTCACTGCAAGCTCCACCTCCTGGGTTCACGGCATTCTCCTGCCTCAGCCTCCCAAGTAGCTGGGACTACAGGCGCCGCCACCACGCCCGGCTAATTTTTTGTATTTTTAGTAGAGACGGGGTTTCACTGTGTTAGCCAGGATGGTCTCGATCTCCTGACCTCGTGATCCACCCGTCTCGGCCTCCCAAAGTGCCGGGATGACAGGCGTGAGCCACCGCGCCCAGCCTCCTATTCCGTTTAAAAAAATGAACTCTTCGGAAGGGCAGTGAAGGGTCGTCACACAGCTGTTGTGGGTGCAGGAGGTGGTGGACTCTGTGGTGAAGAGTCTGGACAGAGAATATCCAGTAGATCCAGGTGAGCAGCCCGAGACTCAGCCAAGGCGTGGCCAAGGTGAAAGACCAGAAAGGCAAAGGCTCCCGGCCTCCCAGGTGGCCTCATGTTCCGCTGCAGTGCCAGCTGTTGTGAGGGCCACTGGCAAAGACTTTTATTTCCCAGAGGATAAGAGAGACTCCTTCATTTCCTTGCTCATAGTCGGGATGAGGTGTACGTGGCCATCCACACACTTGGTCACTCAGCCGTCCAGTGGTTGCTTCACCTGAAGCTCCTTACTCCCTGCTTGAATCTTCAGCTTTGTCACAGCAACGCAGGAGGCACCAGGCCAGGTGGTCCCAGAACGTCTCCAGCTCGCTGGTCACCAAGGCCTAGGCTTGAGTCAGAGGCGCTTGGCAGTGCTCAGTGCACTGCTGCACCTGCTGCATGGATGCTTGACTGTCCTCACAATTGTATTACCACTCCAATAGGTAGGAATGGTATCTCGTTATTGTTTTGAGTTTTCTCAATTACTATGATGTTGAGCATCTTTTCCTGGGCCCGTCGGTGACGTGGAGCGTCTTTTCGTGGCCTGTCATCTGTGTGGCTTCTTTGCTCACAGGTGTAATTTTTCCTGCATCTGTCGAAGTGATCGTATCGTTTTCTTTTTCAGTTTGTTGATGTGGTTAATTATACTGGTTGATATCTGAATATTAAGCCACATATGAGAAAAACCACATTTGGTAGTGATGTCTTATTCTTGGAATGTATTGCTGGATTCAGTTTGCTAAAAGTTTAATTAGAACATTTGTGTCTAAGTTCATGGGGGATATAGACATGTAGTTTTCCTGTCTTTTCTTGTAATGTTATTGTCTGGTTTTGGTATGAAGGTAATGTGGGCTCTATAGAATTAAATGGAAGTGCCCCCTTCCCTATAATTCCTTGGCTGTGGCACAGAGCACGTGCCTGTTTCATGGGTGATTTGAAGTAGGGAACAATAAATTCATGTGAAAGAAGTAAGCAAAGACCTTATGAAAAGTGTAATATAATCAACAAGCCATTAGGATACATTCTGTCACCAACAAGATCTAAGCATGATTCACATTCATTGTCTACTTAATCTACACCACAGGCTGTGAGTTGGGAATTCCTGACTGTTCCTCACCTGAGAGGTGGTGACTATTTCAAGATTACTTAGCTGGATGGAGTGAGAGCAAACTAAATCTAATGTCAGCTTTCTTCCCTCCCCACTCAGGGCAGCCATGACCCCTGACTCCCATATGGACAGGCCAGTCCCCCTTCATCTGGAAGCCACCTTGGCTGGCCGCTGTGGGACTTCGGATCTGGGAGAGAAACCTTAGTATCCTAAAGAAGAATGTGAGGTGTGATTCGTCCTATGCATCACTCCCGGGGAGGAAGGGCGTGGTTGCCTGTGAGGAGAACTCGCTGTTGCTTGCCTCTGGGATTGCAGAGGCGCTTTGCCAAGAGACCTTTCTCTCCGATTCCTGGGTGACTGGGCAGATGACTATGGGAGTCCCATTTTGCTCATTATGGGATGGATACTCAATGTAGGGCCTCAATAAACCTTCAAACCGACATGTCAGGGTATAAATGAGGGACTGGTCATTTATGTTGAAGAAGGAGACGGTGCCGCACTCATAGTCCAGGAAGACCCCTATTCGTGTCAGAGGGGTCCTGGGGCAGAGGCTGATAAAATGGGGATTTAACGTGAAATACAAATTTTCTGCATTCATTCCGAGGACCCAGTACCCATGATTGGGAGACAAAGTCACTCTCTTCTTCCTCCTGCTCACGCCATCCCGGCACACTCCCACGTACCACCTTTGATTGTGTCCCACGTCCACCTCCCAGTAATGTCTCCCTGCTTGGAAATTCTGAGAAGCCACCACACTCTTCCTTATAAATCTCTTCTCAGAGGGAGGCATATCCTGGGGAGCTTTTCTATGGGTTACAGTTTTCAGATCAGAAACGCAGAGCTGTGGGTGAGCCGTCTCTGGGTCCAGCGTCACCTCCACTGGGGTGCGGTGGGGGAGAGAGGAAGCGTGAGTTACTGAAGAGGAAATCTGGGCTGGAACAAGAGGTCAACCCTCCCGCTGCAGACTGGCTCCGGGTGGCATAGGTGAGGCCCCGGACCTGAGCCTCCCTCAGACACTGCTTTTCAGATTCTCTCATCACCAGTGCAGCCTGGAGGACCCATCAACGTCTAGAAATGTCCCAATATGACGTCCCAATCTCAGCATATCACCCAACCCTGCCACTGTCCCTTCACACATAAAACTATTTGTTTCATAAGAGCTGGAGGGACTCCACTATCTAACTTCCTCCCACTCAGAATTTTCTACCTGACTTCACTTCCTTCCCCCAGCTCAGACCCCTGACCAGTCACTAGTGCCCTCAATTTCCTGAAACTGTGCCAAAGACTCCCCCTATCTCCCAGCCCTTGTCTCCTCCCCTTCTAGACCCAGGGAAAGAAGTGTGTCTGGGGGCACTGCACTCTTGGGAGCTATCAAGCATTCCAGTTTCTCCATCTGCAGGCAGGATGGGTCTCAGCATCACTCTGTTCCCATATCTGTCCCTCTTCAGCTCGCCCTCTCATGTCCACCTGAGATTCTGTCCCACCGTCACCCGACCAGGCATTGGTACCTGCGTGTTTCCGGGCATCTCTCAATTCTGAAAGCAAGCAGACAGAGCAGGCAGTTCAGTGCTCAGGTGGGAAACAGGCCTCAGGGAGAAGGGAGAGACCAAGGATTAGGACCTTTTTTGAGTGTCGTGGGCCCTCCAGAGATCTGAGGAAGGCTGTGGGGCTTCTCTACAAAATGCACCTCCCCCAGAATCTGCAGTTTCAGAGTTCCCATCACAAGCTTGGCTCTGCAGGGACCCATGGGCCTCAGGATATAAAAATCCATAAACGAGAGACTTGGAAAGGAGTCATAAATGTGGGAAGAGGAATATTTTCTTTTACCTGCCTGTCTGTGCTTTCTTCTCCAGTCTGAAAAACAAAAACAAAACACACATAAGAGGCTGACATCACAGAGCAGGGCCCAAGGAGAGCGTGGGAGGAAAGCCCTGCATGTGATAACATTCTAACCCAGTTTATCCTGCAGTTTCCACGAAACAAAAAGCAGACGATTTAGTGGTTGATACAGGACTGGGTAAAGTCTCAAAGCATCAGGCCAGGGAGGTTGAGGATCACCCACCAATTTTTCTCAAGTTCCTCCCTGTGGTCCACACCCTCAGAGCTTGTGATCAACACCTCCCCCCACCACACACAGAGCGGACCAACGGGCAACAGGCACAGATGGGACTTCCAGGCCCTGAGGCCTATCCTAAGCCCTCCAGATATCTGAGGGGCAACTCATTAGCCGTGGATGGAGAGAGCGAGGCAGCTGCTCTCCTCCCCCTGCCGGTACTTCCTGTCCAGCCTGGAGCCGGGGTCTCCAGAGGCTCACGCTGTGGATCAGGGAGGGACCCGGGAGAACCATGTGTGGGAGGCTCAGGACGTGACACACACTTACCCAATTCTGCCTGGATTTTCCCTGAAACAGAAACAGTGTATTCAGTGGTGGAGACAGGAGTGTGCAAGGTACAAACATGACCCTGGCTGCTTGCACAGGTGGGACAAGCTGCGGGTGTGAAGGGCAGGGCCTCTCCTAGAACACTTACATGTGCTCGTCTCCGCAGCCCCCGCACGGAGCGTAGCTGTCTGGGGAGAGCAAGAGATCAGGAAGGTTCATGCTAAGGAGAGGGACAACAGCTGGGATGCTGTGGAGGTGGGGATGGAGATGGGAGAAGGCGGCTGGGAGGGGAGGCGGGGGCGGCCTCATCCCCGGGAGAAGTGTCACTCCCAAGGGGGAAGAAATTGGTTTTGGGGGTAAAAAGTCTTACTGAGACTGAATATAATTTTATCTTATTGTCAGTCACTTTGACTTCTTCCTTTATGAATTTGTTCGCCACATTAAAACTTTTTAATAGGAGTCTTGGTGTTGTTCATGGAAAATTATCCAAGCTCTATAGGTACTGAAAATCATTCATCCCCTTATTATTTGGCCTAAATGAAGTAGCAAGGGCCTGTCGTAGTTGATATTTGCCGAGGAAGAGTTGTTCGAATACCCTACAGAAGGGTGATTACTTTTTTGGGCCTGGGCCCCTGGAGGCTAGGACTAGAGGAAGAGAAGCAGCTGGGATGTGGGAGCATCTCTGATCCTGTCCCTGCTGGAACCATAAATAAGTCGCCGGCCCATGCTTCTCTCTCTCGCTTACCCTGGAATTTGGAGAAGAAAATCTTCAGTCCAACAATGCCAAAAAATAGGCCACAGCAGAGTATTCCCAGTACTTTGGTAGCCAGGTACCATGATACAGGCTGGAAAAAGGTATCTGAAAAACAATCCCACAGACATTTTAGTTATCGGTGAACAAAGGACACAATTCAATTCTTCTTTAAGGACTCACCTATAGAAAATTTATAGGTTTCTATAAATTCTCCCATAGGTTTAACACTTTGATTTTATTTTTGTTATAAAATGCAGTAGTGGTTCTATTTAATTTTCTTCTCAACAGATAACAACCGTGCCAACATTTACTGAATGGACTTTCCTTTCCACACTAATACACGCACCGTCACCTCTGACCCAGTAGGCCTTCTGTTTAGGTTTGGATTTGTTGCTGGGCTCTCTGCTTTCTGTTTAGGTTTGGATTTGTTGCTGGGCTCTCTGCTCTATGCCATTTGTCTACTTGTCCACTTTTGTGCCAATAATTTTGAGTGGCTTAATCACCACAATTCCAGGATATGTTTTGGTATAAACTAGGCTAATTTTCCTCACTTCTTATTCAGTTGTGCCTTGGCAATCATGGCCATTTGCTGTGCAACATAAATTTTTGTATTGACTTGTCAAGTTCTAAGAAAATTCTGCTGAAAATTTGAATGGAATTGCACTGAATCTATAGATCAATTCAGAGAGAACTGATACCTTAAAATATTTGCATCTTCTTGTCTGAAAAAATATCTCTTCCCTCCTTTTACTATTATTTAAACTGACAAACCTCATACATATTAACGGGTACAGTGTGACTCTTTGATACATGCCTACAATGTGGAGTGATTAAATCAAGCTAATTAATACATCCATCATCTCCCTTACTTATCATTTTTATGATGAGACATTTAAATTTTGTTCTTTCTGTTATTCTGAAATATACAATATGTTATTATTGACTACAGTCACCCTGTAGTTCAACAGACTTCAAAACATATTCCTCTTGTCTATTTCAATCTTTGCGCCCTTTGACCAACAACTCCCCATTCTCTCTTGCCCTCTGCCCCAGCCTCTGGTAACATTCTACTCTCTATTGTTGAGTTTAGCTTTTTTAGCTTTGACATAGATCACGAGAGATTCATCTTTCTGAGCTTGGCTTATTTCACTTAGCATAATGTCCTTCAGGTTTATCCTCGGAATTACAAATGACAAAATGTCCATCCTTTTTTTAAAGGCTAAATATTATATTCCATTGTATTTATAGATCACCTTTTCTTTACCCATTCATCTGATGATGGACACTTAGATTGAATTTAGCAATTGTGAGTAATACAGCTATTCATTCAACATATTGATTACAGTGCATTTTCATATATTCCCACAAGTAGGATTGCTGAATCATGGAGCAGTTCTATTTTTAGATTTTTGAGAAAACTCCATACTGTTTTCCATAATGGCCATACTAATTTACATTCCCACCAATAACGTACAAGAGTTCCTTTTCTCAGCATCCTCGCCAACTCTTATCTTTAATCTTTTTGATAACAGTCATTCAAAGAGGTGTAAGGTGATATCTCATTGTGGTTTAATTTGCATTTCCACAATGATTAGAGATGCTGAGCATTTCTTCATGTACCTGTTGTCCATTTATTTATTTATTAATGTTTATGTGCAAAGAGCTATTGTGGTTTTTCATTGCGTAGATGCCTTGGATAATCCATTCAAGAAAGATCACTTAGTCCATCTTAATGAAACCTATATCCTTTGCGTACTGATGGAAACACTTCCAGCACATATTGAGGCTGTATTTCCGGATCAGACCGTGCCGGTTTGAGCAGACTCGACAAGAGAAGGACCCTGACCGAATTTTCACGGGTGGCTCCAGTACAGCTGCTGGTGGCCCATCTTGCTCTCAGGAGTGCAACTAGGTGGAAGAAGAGAGTTAACGCAAGCATACACCCTCCCTGTTGTCCACTTAAATATTATTTTGAGAAGTGTTTGTTTAGGTCTTTGCCCATTTTTAAGATCGGGTTATTTGTTTTCTTGCTATTGAGCTGTTTGAATTTCTTATATATTTTGTATATTAATCCCCTATCAGCTGTTTGGTTTGCAAGTATTTTCTCTCACTCTGTGGGTTGTCCTTCACCTTGTTTACTGTTTTCTTTGCTGTACAGAAGCTTTTTAGTTTGATGTAATCCCATTTGCCTATTTTTGCTTTTGTTGTCTATGCTTTTTATGGCATATTCAAAAATATTATTGCCAAGATCAGTATCATGGAGCTTTGCCATATGTTTTCTTCTAGTAGTTTTATAGTTGCAGGTCTTACATTTAACTTTTTAATCTAATTTGAGTTCATTTTTGTACATGGTGTGAGATAAGGGTTCAGCTTCATACGTGTGCATGTGGATATCCACTTGTTTCAATATCATTTGTTGAAGAGACTGTCCTTTCTTCATCCTGTGTTCTTGGCACCTTTTTCAAAAATCAATTGTTCATAAACACATGGGTGTATTTCTAAACTTTCCATCCTGTTCCATTGAGTCATGTGTCTGCTTTTGTGCCAGCCCCAGGATGTTTTAATTATAATCACTTTATATTTTGAAATCAGAGTATAGGGGCTCCAACTTTGTTACTTTTGCTCAAGATTGCTTTGGCTGTTTGAGTTATTTTGTGGTTCCATATGAATTTAAGGATTGCTTTTTTCTTTATCTGTGAAAAGTGACATTAGAATCTTGAGAGAGATTGTGTTGAATCTGTAGATAGCTTTGGGTAGTATGAACATTTTAACAGTGCTAATTGTTCCAATTCCTGAACATAGAATATATTTTCTTTATTTGTGTTCAATTTTTTAAGTTTTATTTTATTTCGTATTGACGTAATAATTGTTCATATTTACAGTACAAAATGGTGTTTTGATATATGTATACAATATGTAATGATCAAATTAAGGTATCACCTAAAACATTAATCATTTCTTTAAGGTGAGAACATTCAAAATCCTCCTTTCTAGCTATTCTGAGATATGTAATATGTAATTGGTAATTATAGTTACCCTACTGTGCAGTGGAAGACTAGAACTTATTGCTGCCATTTAAATGTAATTTTGTGCCTGATCAACCTCTCCTCATCCCCCGCAATCCCTCTACCCTTACCAGTCTCTAGTAACCACTGTTCCACTTTCTACTTCTATGAGATCAGCTTTTTAAAAGAATTTTAATTTCCACATAATAACTGTACGTATTTATGTGGTACAATGTGATGTTGTGATACATGTATACATTGTGTGAAGATCATTTCCATCACCTCAAACACTTGTCGTGTCTTTGTGGTGAGAACATTCAAAATCCTCTCTTCTAGCTATTCTGAAATATACTATACATTCTTGTTAACTATAGTCACTCTGCTATGCAATAGGACACCATTTCTCCATTCCTCCCTCTACCTTATCCCCAGCTCCAGCACTCTCTGGTAACCCCACTTCTCTACTTCTATCAGATAAACTTTTTGGATTCCGTATATGGGTGAGATCATGTGGTATTTGTATTTCTGTGTCTGGATTAATTTACTTAACATAATGTCTTCTAGGTTCTCTACCTCTATGAGATACATTTATTGGATTCTACATATGGGTGAGATCATGTATGGTTTAATGTACTAAACATAGTGTCTTCTAAGTTCATCCATGTTGTTGCAAATAATAGGATTTCACTCTTTTTATTACTGAATAATATTCTATTTTGTATATACGTCATATTTCCTTTTCATTAATTTGTTAATAAACACTTAGGTTGATTCCATATCTTAGCTATTGTGAATAGTACTGAAATAAACATAGGAGTGCAGATCTCTTCAATATGTTGATTTTCTTCCTTTTGGATATACTCAGTACTTTGCTGGATCTATGGTAGTTTCATTTTTAATTTTTTGAGAAATCTCCATACTGTTTTTCATAATGAACATACTAATTTAAAATCCCACCAGTGGTGTGCAAGTGTTCCTTTTCTCCACATCAACAACAATTGTTATCTTTTGTCTTTTTGATAATAGCAATTTTAACTTGAGTAATGTTTTATCTAATTGTAGTTTTTATTTGCATTTCCCTGATAACTAGTGATATTGAACAGTTTTTATATGTCTGTTGTTCATTTGTATGTTTTCTTTTGAGAAATGTCTACAAGGTCTATCATCTTGGCCGGGCACGGTGGCTCGTGCCTGTAATCCCAGCACTTTGGGAGGCAGGCGGATCACCTGAGGTCAGGAGTTAGAGACCAGCCTGGCCAACCTGGTGAAACCCCGTCTCTACTAAAAATATAAAAATTAGTTGGGCATGGTGGCAGGTGCCTGTAATCGGTTACTCAGGAGGCTGAGGCAGGAGAATCACTTGAACCCAGGAGGCCAACGTTGCAGTGAGCCGAGATTGTGCCATTGCACTCCAGCCTGGGTGACAGAGCGAGACTCTGTCTCAAAAAAAAAAAAAAAAAAAAAAGAAATCTATCTTCCCTTTTGTGATTGGATTATTTGGGTTTTTCACTCTTGAGCTGTTTGAGTTCCTTATATGAATATCTAGTCAGATGTATAGTTTGCAAATATTTTCTCCCATTCTGTAAGTTACCTCTTCACTCTGTTAATTATTTCCTTTGCTGTGCAAAAGCTTTTCAGTTTGATATAATCACGTGTCCATTTCTGCTTTTGTTGTCCATGGTTTTGAAATCATATATTTAAAAAAATTATTGCCCAGTCCAATGTCCTGAAGCATTTTTCCTATGTTTTCTTCTAGTAGCTTTATAGTTTCAGGTTTTACATTTTAGCCTTTAATTCATCAAGAGTTTATTTTTATATATGGTGAGAGATAGGGGTTAGTTCTTTCTTCTGCATATGGATACTAGCAAATGCAGCACTATTTTTTGAAGAGACTGTCTTTTGTCTAATATATATTCTTGGCACCTTTCTCAGACATGAGCTGACTGTAAATATGTGGATTTATATCTGGGTTTTGTATTCTGTCTCATTCTTCTGTGTGTCTGCTTTCATGCTAGTACCATGCTGTCTTGGCTATTATGCTTTTGTAGTGTATTTTGAAGCTCCATAATGTGATACCTCCAGCTTTGTTAATTATTCAGT